AAAAATGTTTCGCCTCGGGCAGGACTTGAACCGGCATCGTCAGCGTTCCGTGCTAGCAACTGCAGAGCATATAAATAGAAATATGATAAATTATGTAGTGCCTTCATGTGCAATAACATGTAAAAAAATAATAAGGTTTAAAAAAAAAAAATTACAAAAATAATAATCTTTGGAGTTTTTTAGCTCTCTTCAGTCACCTATGAAACGCCTAAGAACTGATTTCATCTCACTTAACAATATTTTAAACTAGTGATGACCAGTCATTTGGCAAAAGGATAACAACAAATTTTGTTTCCGGGAAGACTGACGCAAAACTTTTTGTTTCGAACATGATAAAAATGGAAATAAATCATTATAACACGTTGCGAATGTTGCCATGTTGCAAATTGGTAATATTTAATATTCACCACCTCTATAAATAATAATTGATCTTTTACAATTTTTGACCGTCTGTTCAACTATCAATACTATAATATATTCGTTCCTGGAATTGCAAGACCCGCAATATAGTTATTGTGCTGTAAAACTCGTAAGTTTTTATTGCATCCGTCGATATGGAATGCTACAGCTTATACGAACGCTATATGAATAGTTCTTTCAACATTTTTAGAATATAAAATATAATTTATTTGTTAAAAAACAAAAATTAAAAATCTTTAATTATTGCACTGTGAGTACGAAAAAGAAGAGTTTCTTCAAGGATTGGCTGAGTGGCGTTTAACCTTGATAAAATGCAAATACAAGGCTCTTCGAATATTTAAAACCAAAATAGGCCGACAGCGCATCATATACTTAAATGTTATGTGACTGGGGTATTGCACCTCCCATCACGTGAACCCCGTGCCTATTTGTCCTTCACTATATTATAAAAAAACAACCCCTTAAACATGGAATTATTAAAAAAAATGAAGAAATGTCACCATATATTTTGTTCACACAATTATTTCTTTTTTATGACAGGAAAGAACAGGCAAAGAAAATTTTGCTTGATGACAGTTGAAACGCGACATATTTTATTTAAACTTATTTAAAAATTATTTGTAAATACAGCCATGGCTACAGCAAAGCATCCGACACATCGGGCCATAGTTAACTAAAACGTTTTAAACCGTTAGAATATTTTATTTAAATGTGTATGCACAATGCACAAGATGTGCTGTCGAACTTAATATAGCTTGAGATTCGAAGCAATTATTATAAAAACTAGAAAATAAAAATATTCATAGAAAAGATTTTACATTCATTTGTCTGCATCTGCGAAGTGGAAATCAAACCGAAGCAGAGCTTTTCAACAAAAGTTTTAACGAGGTATCCGCCACAATATTTTGTAGCACATCATTATAAAAAAACCTATAATAATTGTTTTCGTCCGAACCGCAATTAATCTCTTTCGTATTTAATGAGCGGTTTTAATTTCGTTTCTTTCCCTGTTTTTGAGTTTCAATGGACATAAAACTTGAGGAATGGCAACTCCTAACAAACAGTCGTGCCACAGAACCAATTTCAAACGCGCAAACTACAGTTGCAAACTCTGTATTTATACTTTCGTACGTTTTAAATAATGGCTTTTGAAGTGCACTTTTAAAATTTAGTTTACATCTCGTTTAGGCGAATATATTTTACAAGTTTAAATTATGTTGGACACAGAATAATGCCTGCACGTTTACATTGTCAAACTAGATGAGTCTAGAAACGGAGCTCCTGGCTTTGAGATTATTCTGTTTAAACTACTGTGTTTTGTTTAAAAGTATGTGAAGTCTTGAGATGAGAATTAAATGTTATTCCAAATATCCAAAGCCAATAGACTAATAAGTCTACGACCTGTCTCTGTGCTTGTCTGTACTCGTCTAACATAAAAAAATAACAAATGTCTTACAAAAAAGTTCGAGTTTTAAACAGTTTGTTCAAGTGTTTTATTTTCATATTCCCACTGAGGAATAGTGTTCACGCCATTTCGTAAAAAGAACATTTTGCTATACACTTTTGAACGGGCGTTTTAACATTGGCAATACGTGGAAAGCAGTACGAGAGTAACTCGTGTAAAAACTTAAAGAAAATAGGTAATTATAAAAGTATACACGTAATTTCCTTGTTTTATATACACAGAACTTACGGCGTGTTACATTTTACATTAGTCATACATTTTGTTATTTTTCCAATGGACAAACAAACCCATACTTTTATTTATACGAAAGAGGCTAGATCTGCGGTAACATAGCTTTGAATACTTTAAAACTAAGCCTAGCGTGCTTCTAGTGAGGTTTACATAAAGTAGCCCTTTACATTTAAAATTAGTCTTACATGTTTTTAATATTGCACTTCGTACGTCATGCAATAGGCATTGGTGAGATTTAAAGACACGACAAATGCGCTATTGTCTGTACTTTACGCAACGGTTATAATATGGATGCCGGTAAAAGTCCTGCCCTAGTTGTATTTTTTAAATTAATAATCGATCTTAAATTTTAATGGTTTAAAAAGCGAAATACATTAGTCAATCTCCTTTTAATTACGAGATTTAACATTTAAAACCCAGTGACCAGGGCTCTTGCATTCGAAACGTGGGGTCGGAGTTAAAAGAGAATTAAAATATTTATCGTGTTTACCTTTAATTGTTTGATTTAATTTCGATTTAATAAACTAGTCTTTTTTAGCAGAATCATATACTATGTTTTAATTTACCATGACTCATACACATTGTACTTGTAAACCAATCTCTTTCGCCTGCATATTCTTATATTATTTGCCTTAAATTCCTTTATTAATTAAAATATTTCAACTAGATACTCTATTTTACAAAAAAAAGGGGCCAAACAATAAAATATACTATCGATACAATACTGTTTGTAGATTACGAAAGTAGTGCACATGTAAATAAAACACTAAACACTATTTCAATCACCTAAGCAAATTTTAACATTACAACAGCTCATGATTTCAAATGATTCCAAAACACCAAATCGTTCCAGTTCCACAGCGCAATGTTTACCATTTGAAATCGAATCGCATCGACTAACGATTTAAAACTACCGTCAGCAAATTAATCCTGGTCCAATAATCATCTGGGCGCCAGACGCGAGGAAATCGCAATGAAACGAGCTGGATCCACACTGCACGTTGGTGCCTAATTGAACGGAAATCCTTTTGTGGAGGCTCAAAAGCCGAATTCGGCGCTGTCTTGTTTTAAACAGGAAGGTCCGGCGTACAGTTTTTAATGTTCAGTCAGGTGGCTGATTGGGATATAAATATACCCTAACTAGCCTTAAAGGTAGGCTTACATGTTAATAAAAAAATCGTGTTTGAAAACTTTAATATTTTTCCCTTGTTATTGCACTATATAAATCTAGTGTAAGTTAAATTGGTTAGAGCAAAGGCACGGACCGCTGTGGATGCGGAAATTTTATTAATTAATAATCGATTTAAAATCCTAATAAATACAATAACTATAAGAAAAACTTTAATATTTTCGACATGTTAATGTATTGCACGTGATTATTATTATTTTTAGATTGCAATAAAAATTACATTGTAACTTAAAAACTTTAATATTCTTTACATGTGCACATGTAGGCAGTATATAATTCAAAAATCGAAAATAAATTGAAAAAATGTTTGAACGCGGCATCGTCGACTTCCGTACCGTTGCTCGTCAGCGTTCCTACCGAGGACTCGGTAAAGACTCGGTTTGAGGAGTCAAAAATATTTCAATTTATTTCCGTTTTTTTCAATTTGTTTTAATTTTTATTTATATACTTACTATATTTCCAAAATTCCTATATGTCTCCATCGCAAGTAGATTATCTCTTAGAGGGTCAATCTTGAATAGTACAGCAGAAAGGACAAACAAAAGTGTCCTAAGTTATATGTTACTTTCGTTTTTATTGTCTGTAGTAGACATAATTATACATTTAAATAAAACAAACACACTTTTAGTGAATGCTGCAAAGCACCCGAAACATTTCGCGTTTTAAACAGTTAAAAGTGTAATACTTAAACTCTTTCGTATTTCAATTTTTCATAGCTAGTGTAAACAAGCTATGAAAAATTGAAGTATGTTATGAACGAAGCCAAACTACATCGAAAACGGAGAGTTGTGATTGATTAAACTTTTTTATCTTTTTGGTGTTAGTTACCAGTTTAATTTAGTAGTTAACAGTATTTAACTGGGATGTATGCTTACTATATCAATCAATGAGGCTATCAACAAGGTACCTAGTTACCTACATAGTTAAACATAGTTAAAAAAAGACTTTTCTTAAACCAACAATGGTTTAATTTTAGACTTCGTGTAATAATTTCGTACGTAAGTCTACTACAGCTTTTTTAACTAAAAATCAATAAAAATACATTAAAATACAGAATATTTATTACATTTTAATTAACTAAATCGGTGATGTTTTTTTATTAAAGTTTATTTTCACTTCTACGCAGTTTACATACGATTAAAACTTATTTATTGACAGTGCTTGAACTTTACTGGGGATTCTATTAACCGACCGTATGAAATTACCCTGAAAAAAAGAAGTACTACACATTACTTAGCCTTTATTATAGCGTGACTATAAAATTAATCGCGTGACGCTATTTGGATACAACTTGCAATAGGAAATAAGTTTTATTATTTGACTGTTAGTTCTTATTTATAAATATATCGAATATATACTACATACACGCGTAAAAAAAGGAAAACTACTACGATATTATTGTCATTTATTTTCAATAAACAGATAATTTTAAATAAATACTTTAAACGGTATAAAACAAGCTTAGTTTAAGTAGTCCTGGTCACGGGGGAACTGCTTCTGCAAAGCATCCGAAACGTGTAGTTAAAATAAATAGTAAATAGGTTTACTAATATATCTCGCGTTTTAAACCGTGTCAATTTTAGCAAGTAGGTGATTCTTTGCTTTTGCTCTCCAAGTAGATTATATCTTAGTCTATAGTTCGGAATAAATAAAGTCAACATATGCGTATAAAATTGTAATTCTTATTTATTATTCTTAAACTCGAAACAGATCGTATTGGCTCACGGCTTTCAACCGTTCCAAGATGTTCAAAGAGCGAGTATTGAGGTTGTTCAAAGACTCCACACTTTCAGAGCTACGTCTAAATCGTTCTGAACTGCCGAAGGATTCCACATTTCTTAACCTGTCATGCTTGTCTTCCTCCAGGTCTTCAACGCTTCGGCGACGACGTTCTTCTACTGATTTCCATAGTCTAATTTTGTAATTTGGATTCCAAGTTGTTGTGAAAACGGGCTTATGTGTACATTGGTATTGATCCGCTGTGCAATATTCAAATGTTACCAAGAACACTAGTCCAATTAATTCTCGCAACATTATGCCAAGTATATCTTTAGCAGAATGAAGGAATATTTTGTTTCATTTATATTTAAACAACAGAGATAATTAACCGCACATCTTTAATCAAAACTAACCAAAACAAACCGGGTACGTCCCGAGATTACATAGCGGTGTTTTCCCTAACATTATAGTAGATAACATATTGAATTTATTAAATTTTAATTATAGGCCACATATACCATGAAATAATCTACTTACTGAACAAAAGCTAGGAAGTACCGGAGTCCTAAAATATAATATGATATAATACATCTATTACGTATTTTGAAATATACGTTCGTTTCATGTTTACACGTGTAGTGCACATCTCATTGAAACAGTTCTAACTGCTTAAAACGCGTAATATGTTAACTTATTATTTTCAATTTAATTTAAGTACGGCCCGACGTGCGAATGCTTTACAATAGCCGTGGTCACATGAGTCAAGTGGGGATCTTAGAATGTATTATCAAAGTCAAAACTACTAAGCTAGCGCCATCTGTTTCGACGTACTTGACATTTAGAGAAACTGGTTGGTTCCTTACTAAACTGACTCACAATGTCCTCTAGTGTACCGGGCCGATTAATGAAATTAAAAATTACCGTACGAGTGTTTTATTAAAATTATATTTTTTACTGCGTTACAATGTTATTAATAGGAAGCAATAATAATAAAAATATGTATTGTGATGGATAGTTTTATTATCATACTATGTAATAGGATGGAATTTATGTATATATTATGAACAAATGAGTGAAATTACTACATTTACTAGTTTCGGATAGACCAACTACGACACTTTGTCTTCTAGTATCAATAGATAGATTCTACCGACTTAGGGCTTCGCTTCACGCGCTCCATAGAACGAGAGTCGAGGTCGTTCAAAGACTCCACACTTTTGGGACTGCGTCTAAATCGTTCTACACTGTCAAAGGACTCCACCGTTCGGAAACTGTCAAACTCCTCTTCCCTCAACTCCTCTACGCTGCGTGGACGGCGACCTCCAATGTATTGCCATGGTTTGGTCTTCGCGTTCGGATTCCAATTTGGTATGATCACGGGTTTGGGCTTCCAAATGTCGTCACCCGCGGCGCAAACTGCGATTGTTATCGCCAAGAAAACTAGTGCAATGATTTTGGAAATCATTATGATAATCTTTGTTAGAATGAAGTTAAGTTTCACTTTTGTTCTATTTATACGGCTTAAAAGCAGTGGAGGTGATTAACCGCACTTTGATGTCAAAAGTCAAAAGCGAGCCAGGGGATGCCCCGAACTTATTGGTGCTTTCCCTAACGCGCAAGTCAATAATATCGATAAGCTATTATTAATTATTGTAATTATAATTAAATGATAATGTAAATTAATATGACCTTTCCGTAGATCAATAAACAAATATTGTATAGCATTGCAAGCGTGAGATTCGAACACCGGGAAATATTAAATATTCATTTGAGGGATATATTGTTTCGGTCGGGCAGAGCACAGGAGTTCGATAAGGCCTCCTATGAAATTCATATTGATCAATGAAACAGACATTAAAATGTGCTCGCCTCATGCCGCAGACGGTAAACGATATTGGTTTCAGATTATTCTGCTATTTTAAACGATTTTGGTTTTTAGTTTTTAAAAGTATAGTTAATCTTAAGGATAAACCTATATCGACGCGGGTACTTTTAGCCTATTTCATTTTTTTTTCACATGTTCCACTGTTTCTTCACATAAATTGAATAGGTACTTATTGAACATAAAATACGGACCTCTAAAGACTTAATAAATATGTAAGCCTCACGTACGTCATTACCAAAGGCTCAAGAATGCTAAATTGTAATACACTCGTATAATATTTAAGCTGTCATTGCAATTTTTATCATTCTTGTGAAATATATAAATTTTAAAATGTATTTAAATTCACAAAATTATTGTAAGATAACTTTATTACTGTTTAGCATCAAATAAGCCTGTCTCTCTTTACAAACGTAATACAACTCGATCGAAGAAACCTTAATTTTGTAATTCTGCTTTTTTAATAAAAATATATAAAATGTTATTATGAACCTACAATATACAAGTGGTATTAGTGTTCAAAACTTATTTACTAATATTTATAACTTGCCACAGATAACTGTAAACTAAATTCATTAGCGTCATCTCCTTAATTAATTAAAGGCAACGTTTTTATGCCAGGAAATACATGACAGTGTTTTTATTCGTATTTCTCACTTTATTCCATGTAAAATGTTTTTATAGTCGTAAATGAATACTTCAATGGGCAATGAAGTTAAATTTACTCAAGATATAATTAAAGGCGTGGTCTTAATTAATTAACATACCAGCGACCAGCATGTCACAGGAATAATATTTATCATGTGGAGCAAACCGGCGTTATGCGTCTATTTTTTGTTTACTGGACGCTTAACCTGTTGGAGGGAACACTAATTGTCCTCCTGAGTATCACAGCGTTTGATGCATAGCTTAAGCGAGACGAGGTGAATAGAAAAAAATACTTAGAACACGTAAACATTACTTTAATAGGAAATAACATTTATAACATACAATACATGAAAAGATGATTTTTGCTTAAATAAAACACTTTAACGGTTTAAAACGCGATATATTAGTTAAACTTATTTGAAAATGATTTTTAACTTTAAGATAATTCAAAAATGACAGGTTATATCTATGAGATTAAAAAAATTTATTAAAACCTCCTTTATATTATATTTCCACAGCGTATACTTACCTTTTTTTATTTATTTTTAAACATTTTTAAATATTCGCCTTTTTTAAACATTCTCTTTATTTCATTTTGATATTGAATAGAAAATATCTGGAATTACAAGAATTCTTTCGTTGGCCTAGTGGTTAGTGATACTCGACTTCAGTAACAAGGTCGCGAGTACCTATATCTTAGTATAAATATTACTTCTATATTTGAATTCTAATACCTGGAGTTTAGAAGTATTGTAACCTCGTGCTTTGGAGAGCATATTAATGAAGTGGTGATCATAAAACCCACATTGGAACATTATGGTGGATCTCAGCTCGAAATCCTTTGTTATTTAATGATAGAAAGACAAGAATAAGGTGCACTCAATTGGGGTGAAATACTCCAGCCATCTCAACAAGATCCGCTGGACTATTTTGGCTTTAGGTATTCGAAAATACACGGACTAAACCTGAACCGTGATTAACCCTTACGCTTCACCGCTTTTTTATCTGTGGACGATAGTTCGTGATCCGGACGGAATTTCGATATTATAAAAGTATATATTGAAGAAAATTGAAAAATTTTCGACAAGGTTGGTATCAGACCTCGGTGCCTAGCAGTGGTACATTTAAAAGATTGAAGACCTCAAAAGAATTTTAAAACTTAAGAATGACTTGTCAGTTACACAAATAGTTTAAGTAGGTAAGTAGGTATAGCATGTAAATTAAAAGAAATACTTAATTTAATACATATATTTTCTCGTCGTATCGTATTCCTAATTCTTTCAGCAGTAAATAATGAAGAAGAAGAAGATTCTTCTTCATTAGAGACTATTCGAATTTCTTATTAAGCCACATAAATTGGATAGCGGGGCCTAGGCGTCGGTGGCGGTCTTGGGTAAGGACTGAAGGGCCGTTCAGACGGAAATGTACGGTGTAAACTCCTGGCGTTGCGACGGTTGTATCCCGGATGAGTTGCTCCAGTGTTCCTGCTTCTTGACGAGGTACTTCCACCTCCACCATAACGTTTAGCGCTGGGAGAGTCAAGACTACGTGCATATCTTCTGTTTGGGTCCATCTTGATGTCATCTATGTATGGTGGCAGCACGGGATGTTCCCCTGTCGCTGGTGCCCGAGGTACGTCACCTTCGTATAACCATTTGGGTTGTTCTCGGTCTACGTCACGTACGGTTCTAATAATAATAGGTCTGCGTGGTGGAGGACGATATGTAGGCAATATATATTGACTATTCACGTCAACTGAGAACATCGCGATGAGAACCAAGACGGTAAGTAGTTTCAACATTTTTACTCTCAGAGAACTGTTGACTAGTTCAATGGTTCGCTGGATGTGATGTTAAAAAAGACTGTCCGCTTTTATATTGGCAATTGAGGAAAGTCTAATGAACCAGGTAGTTACCCTAAGATTAAGGAAACTCAGTTATCAGAAGTAAACAAAGGAGCTGAAGCATACATTATCCTTATGCAAATAGGGTATGTAGGTAAGTGTGTAGGTACATCCCGGTGATGCTGACTAAGGGAATGTACCGCGTACTGACCTTTGTTAGCCTATTTGTTTCATAGTTGGGTTTCACGTGATAACTTAAAATATTATGACAGATAAGTAAAATAATGTTTATTATATAACAAAAAGAATTACATGATTTTGAGAAAAACACTTTTGGTCTTGATATTTTGTATTTTTTATCTTTATATCCGTTAAAGGGTTGGCAGTTTTCGATTTCATCTCTGAAGGAGTAAGAAGGATAATAATTATTAATTTTTGGTTCGATTTTTTCATCTCAAACTCGATTTGAATGAAAAAATTAGTACATATTTTGAATGTGCTAGAAAAAATAATTATCGAGCTGTATTTTTAGCAAACCTATATTATATTATATCCTTATTATAGAATAAATTATTTACAGAATTCAAGAATAAAAAGAAAAGAAGTTGTTGTAGTCAAATCTTTTAAATTAAATATTTACGAAATCCCATTCGATTAATTGAATCGAACACGTTTTACGTCATCGGAACAATACTGCGCAATGCGCACAACACTACACATTGCAGTTTTATTATTTTGCGGTTTCTATTTCTAACATTTAAAATACAATTTGTTTTTCAAAACAAATTATATTATAGTTTTTTTTTAATATACACGCAACTGAGTAATGGATCAGTAAAAATTACGTTTCAAGATAAGTGACCACAAAAATTGTAAACATGGGTGACGGGTCGAATATTGGTAATTTAAATCAATACTTATTACATATTTATTAGAAACATTAAGCATCTTTTCATGATTGTTTACTCAATACAATATTCACAACATTTTAGATAATGTCGAAATGTTAAAATCTCTCTACGACTTCGAAGCGACATTAGCGAAGACGCTGAGTTTCGCTGAGGGAGAATACTTTTACCTTCAACAAACAAACGCGAAACAGAGGAACTGGTGGCACGTTATTAATCGGAATGGCCAAATAGGCTTTGTACCTTCTAACTACGTAGCTGCGGTCAAGGTAAGTTGGTATTAATTGTTCTTATTAACGCTAATTGTCAATGATAAAATTAGAGTTTGTTCAACGCAGGTTGAAGCAGACTTTTTCCTGGGTTTCCTAAATGATTGTATAAAGAGCTTAAACGAAAATCCAGCGATGGCACAAAAGCAGGAAATACTGCAAAGGCTAAGCGAGAAAAGGAAACAAGTGCAAGTGCTAGTGAAGCCTTCGAAAAAGCAACAAGCACCAAAGCCTCCGCCTCGCTTGGATGACAACACCCCTCCAAATGGTGTATCTCCATCTTTTGATCTACGGCCCGTTGTATCACAACAGCATATCTCTGAGGAACAAGAATCTCCCACTAAATCCTTAAGCAGTAATGTGGTTAAAGGTAACATAATTTAAATTGTTATGTAATTTTAGATTTTTTTATGCGATTACTTAAGCTCCCAGAATATTGCTGAAAAGCCAAAGTTCCTTATAACAGTTTTAGTCTCTGAAAAAAAGGAGACATAAGTTTCTTAATGTCAACCCTAAATTGACTGTAGCCTGAAGCTTTTCTCCCAGTTCTTTTTAATCTAGTAAGATTTTAAAGAGTATTCCAACAGTATTCTAAAAACATGTGTTGTTAATATAGTATAATAAGTGTAGTTAATAATTATAACTTAATTGAACAAAAATTCTTTAGTGAATAATGGCATTTCATAACATTCAAACCTAATCAAAAGATTTCTCTTTTAGATGAAGATGAAAGGCGCATAGAACATATAAAGCCAGCATCAAACCAAGTGTCATCTGATACAGATAACCAAGATGACAGCCAGGACAGCAGTGAAAGTATTCGGCCAAATGCTATCTATGAGATAGTACAGTCAGTCCGTCGAGAGACTCAGCTAAGTCATGATATGTCGAGGGTTGCTGTCGAAACTGTACTTGTATCATTAAGGGTAAGTAATAAATTCACGCTATTTGATGCAAGAGGAGTGGGGCAGTTCAGTTGAAATGACAATAATTTTGGCCAGTCTTTACCGTGATTCGGCCTTCTGTTGGTGTTTCAATTAAAATATAAGATATCAATACATATTTAAAAAATAAGATTTCTAGGAATCATGATATTAATCGGCTTGTATTAAAATAACTGTCCTGTGTGTTCTTAGGATATTTGTACTACTAGACTGATTTTAGTAAAAATATTATTTTATTTTATTTTGTCAATAGTAACCAATCATTTTTAGAAATAAATAAATTTATTTACTGCCAAAAGCCACACAAATCATAAGACTCATTGCTAAATATGTATTAAGATTCGCATATTAATAAAGAAAAAGAACATAATTTAATCTCAACAGTATAACTTAATCTTACTTACTTAATAGTTTATTATGACTAACTATTGTATATTGTTAAGATTACTATGGCTGAATTATGATATGATATATGATGAAAAACAACATTTACATTATTATTGTACACAGGAGTTTCTTCCCGGTGGTGCTGCAAGATCTATAATAGATGCACTTCTTCGTGAGGCAAACAGCAACATCACATGTCCAAAGAATGCAATAGATGCAGCACCAGATGCCTTGAGGATGATGACAGCGTTGAATTCCTTATCGAAGGCAGCCAATGATGCTCAGCAACGAGGATGGGCGTTGCATGATGATGCACATGATATTCAAACGCAGCTCCTCGAGCTAATCTCTGTTATGGTAACACTTTTATATTGGTGTTTCTCACTAGCTAATATTTTATTCACAACTATTCACGAAAGTTTATACATTACATTATTTAATATAAAACAATATTCACCTGAAAAAACAAGAAACAACATTTAATGCCCTTTCTTCAGGTTTAAATTAATATTGTTCTCCATAAATAAAAATGCCATCCGTCGTCCACTGACACTGTGCCTTCCGACATTTATTACCATCATACAAAAAAAAAATCTATGGCTAAAGCGGCCAAATTAAACTGAAGGAAAACCATTCCACCACCACGACAGGGCAGTGGTTTTCCTTTGCATATATATAACAGCATTGCTGTAACCTACCAAAGTAATCCGTTTGAATCAATTCAATCATATATTGTGTTTATTCCTTTTGGACTACTTACATAGTCTTTTGTACAAATTAACGTTTATTTGAAATATTCTGTCCGGTCATCTGACACTAAAGTGTATTGTCTGATGTATTAGTAAAAGCTTTATGAAATACTTTTGATGTGTATATGTTTTCCGCTGTTTTACTTGACCATTTATCGCATGGCGTTAAATACGGGTCCCCAAAAAACAAATTCTTCCGGTCGGCAAGTCAGAACTACAAATAGATCAGGACTCCACAGCGGGAAACCCAGGTTTCACTTTTTACTGCTTTTTTTACAGTCCAATGCTGATGTGAATATTTCACAACATGTGTTGAGCAGCCATCGATACGCGTATGTTTCCACCTTGGTTCAGTATTACCAGATGGAAACAAGATGGCCACTTAGACAACTCCTTTTGCAGGTATGCCATCAGATATCTAATAGATTCTATTTATATTTCTGGAAGATATGATGCGACATGGATATGGACATGGAAAGGTTATCTTTCTTTTTTATTAAAAAAAACTGTCATTAGCACATATGTATGTATGTATGCACCTAAGTATGTCCATAAATTACATTTGCCATGACAGTAGGTGAGACAGGCGCTGGGTTTACTTGATGGAAGGCAAAGTACCCCAGAAAAATAATATCTCGGCAAGATGTCGGCTGTCAACCTTGGCTCTGGATATTAGGAAATTCGGAGTAAAACGGTGATACGATTAGAAATTTAATTAATCATAGAATATATTTTATCAAATTAAATTTCTGTTTTTAGGCCTTCGGCGTTATGTGTGGACTGGAACGCACAGCGCTCTCGACTTTGGCCCTGTCCGCACTTCCGGCGGAAATTGCGCGTGACATGCGCGACAACCCCCGCGCGGTCAGCCGTCTCTCTCACTCGGCTCTACTTCTCTCTATGGTTTTGTCAATGGGCGATAAACTTCCCATCACGCATTTTGGTATGATTACAATTTATTTGAAACTTTAATATTTATTCACATGTTATGCAATGCAATCGGTAGATAGCAGTAAGTAATTCACACATCATGTACAACGCTGTATAACGGTCTTATTAGTCTAATAGTAACATTATATGGCTGTTAATCAATGTCTCGTAGGTTACGACATTTTTTAATTAAATTCTACTTTATAATATAATGTACAATTTGTCTGAAATATGTTTGAAATTTGAATATAAAGGGGGGTAGGAAGATTTAAATTCCGTCTGGGTCACGAACTACCCTCCGCAGATATAAAAGCCGTGAAGTTTAAACGCGTTTCGGTTTCATTCTATGGATTTCCGAATATCCAAATCCAAAATTGGTCGCCAGTGCATGTTGTTTAGATGTTATATGTCAGGTATTTCACCTACCATCAAGTGAACATATGCTTATTTGCTCTCCTCTATTATGTATATATATATATATATATATATATATTATTTGCAGTAGTTATGTTAGTTAGCGCTATCATTTCATACGAAGAGATCTTTCTGACTTCACATTTTAGAATAACACTGTTCCATTAATTGAAATTATATTTCAGATCAACTTGGTGTAGAATTCGCCCAATTTCTCTTGGAATTGATTGAAAGTCCACCGGAAACGGATGTAGACGAGCAGATACCCGATCTCTTTCTCACTCTCCTGCTCGCGTACAACCTCCAGTTTGAAAACCCCTTCGAGAATATCCTACTCAACGCGCTCGAAACCATGGACAATGCGAAAACGTTTTGCGAGAAAATTTTGTTGTTACTCAATCGAGAAGGCGAGTTTTCAATAACTATAGTGTAATTTTTTCTAACCTAGCAAAATACCAAACCATAGAGAATTAGTGTCACCCTTTTAATAGAGGGCAATTGTTACCACAGATGACACAGGTTTAAAAAATGTTCATTATATATAGACCAAACGACCTCAAAATTCAAAAACACTTTTAGGACGACTTATTTTTTAATTTTCATGTAATTATTATTTACCTCGATGTGTGTCGAGTGGGACTTCTACCTTCTATTGTCGTTGCTTACATCCGATCCTTAAGTAAATGTTAAACAAAGAAATTTTAATCTGTGCATTTGCTTCTCAAAGTTTTGAATTGCCAAATGTCAAAGCCGGGACTAGTCATATAGTATATGATGATCTTCCATGTAATTGTATGTGACTGTGAAACCAGGTTGGTTTACTGGATAATCGAAATCAAAACACGAAATGCCTTCGATTTAGAAAAAAAGAAAAATTGGCATCTTTAGAGAGTGTGTGTGTCTGTGTGTAAAAACCCGTTTCCCCTCGTGGGGCAGGGGCGTACACATTTCTGTGTCCGTTTCACTGATCAGTTTTGTGTACAGGCATATAGTTGATCAAAATACCGTGCCTTGTCCGAACGAAACAATTGACTGTTTCCCCGGCATTCGAACCTAGAACTTCTCGCGCTTAACGCAATGCTAGGCAAAACGTTTAACCACTTAACTACAGGGGTTTAATGTTATCATTTGTTTCTTGATTTATGACTATAAATATAATTTATAATATAAACTTTCAGAGGACCCAGTCCGTATATTCGACCACGAGCCAGAACCGCGACACTCAGTTCTCAAACTGGCTATCGACTTGTTCAGTCGCAAGCGCACCGCAGAACATTTCTACACCAACGACGTTAAAGTCGCGATTGACATCATCGTTCGGCAGTTGGCCGATTTGTCACCGGGAGATTTGGTTGGTTTTAACTTAAATGCAAAAAAAAGTTTTAACGATTTAAAACGCGACACGTTAGACTTATCTTTTACGTTCACTACCCGATGTTTTGGTTGCTTGGGAGACGCCGTCGTTAGGACGAATTTGAACTTGAAGAATACACCTAATATCAAAGTCAAACCTGCTACGTTAACGTCACCTGTTTCTTTTCTAAATAACTACTTGGAAATTTTTCAAAATACCAATTATAAAAAAAAACTTACCTATGACGCGTTATAAACTGTTATCTTTCTGCTAACATACCTTAGCATTTTTTTAATATATTAGAATTATTGTGAAATTGTTATATCATTCCATCTAAGTTTTTTTTATTGTTCTGTAACTGAATTATAGATGTAATCTTTTAAATATATTTTTCGTTTTTCCAGCGTCGCCAGCAATACTCACGGATCCTGCAAGGTATAATCCGTAATACGGAGTACAGCGCGCACCTGCACCGACGCGATGACCTGCTGCGCTGCTTCGCCAGGATCTTCTGCGAGGAGGGTGAGGGCAGCCGCGAAGACCAAGCCCTGGTCAGAGCCATATCTAACGAATTTCCTCAATTCTTCAAAGCTTAACTCGAGACGGGTTTTCCACTCGAACTGTGATATACAGCGCGTATAACAAGATTAGAGGAATTAGAACCGCGCCTAGCATTGACTGAAGGGTAAACTCCCGAAACGCCAAAGTCGTATATGTTTTGTGAGCAATGTTATGCACTTCTGGAATTCTTAGGAGTGTAAAGGTAATAGGTAGAGTTCTATGGATTAGTGAAGGCGAAATAGGTTTGAAACTTATTCAATGAAGAAGTTAGAAACCTTTTTGAATCTGTTCTGCTTAATTGTGAAGTATGTGTTTGACATTAAATACGTATCGTAAGAGTTTTGAAATGGAGTTGACGATACCAAATAGGTTCTGGTTTTTGGCCTAAGTAGTTAAAAGGGGGGTGTGTTAATTGTCTTATTACTTAATTGTGGCAATGGAGAAAGAAAAGGTTCTAAGCGCCTAACAATTGATTTGATACTTCTCAATTTCTGTCTTTCAAGTTGACGCGATAAACATAGAATAAAAAACTTTTGAGAGTTTAAAACGTGAAATATAACATTCATGTCTAATCTACGACCCGTCATTATGTACAATATTACGCGTTTTAAACCTTACAAGTGTTTTATATGATGTTGCTTGCGTTTCATACAAAACAATATTCTTAACAACTACTATTTTATAATAGATATGCATTTTAAAACTAAGATCATTGACATAAATATTATTCATCTCATTACATCAGTATATGCCAAACAAAAAAACAAAAAAGAATTAAATAATATGCATTTTAAGATATATCCTGAGTTTTTTAAAATACTCAAGGGTAAATTGTGTAAGGCTTTCACGGCCATCGTTCAGCACATCATTGTCTTTGGGTCTGTTCGGCCGATGTGAGCGAGGAGAGTTTCTCGACGTTTCGCCATCACGAGCGGACGGCATTATCAGGAGATATTAGCTCCTGGATTGCTCGAAGAATTAATTGTTCGACATTCCCTGTCGAGCGAGAACCTTTCTCGCTTACGTCGGCCGAACAGCCCGAAAAACAATGATATGTTAATACTCAAGGTAGTTAGGGTTTATATTGAGCTTATTATTAAAATGGATGAGAGGAAAAACGATTTTCTCGTTTTCTTCAAAGCACAAAGTAACTGTATATGTGTTAGTTAGTTCTCATAGTCTATGGCCTCTCTTTTATCTGTATTTATTATAAAAAATCGTTATCGAAATTCCATGATTGAATTTTACTCAAATACTTTCCAAATATTAGAACTAGTCGTGTGTATATGATATTGTTGATAGAGATGTGATCGCGAGTGTTGGTTTTGTGAGATTTTAATGTAACCTTAAATAATTTAGTAGTGATCGATTTATTCTCAAAATCGTCAATGTTCAGAGATTTTACGTCGGTTAAAACCGTATATCGGTACTTTAATTTTAAATAAATTTTGCAAAAGATTCTCTATCGCCCATATTATTAGAATGGAGTACCCAGGGAGCAGGAGCGGGTCTTCTTTCGGAAACAATGGTACAGGTTCTAAACTACCTAAATCCACTCATACGTGATATAGTTAATCTCTTGTAATCGGCTGTGTCGACTAAGTAAGTCTCGTATTTCTATAAAATTATAGATATTTATCATACATTGTATTCGTTAAAATATTGCCAAATACAATTTACATTCTGTTGAAACATACAATTCTTTGAATGTCAAACGATAATTTAAATATATTTAATTTAAGAAGTAGGCCAAATTTAAAAACCGAGTAACATAATGTACACACAAAACCAAATAACATAACTTTGCTTCTTAAATTTCTTATTGAAAGCCGATACTGTTCTAAATACTATCTATAATTCTTAACAATAAGAAACATTTGCAATCCGATATGAATCTTTGTTTGACACTAGTCTGTGTGTAAAAGGTATACAAGTATTTGTATTATATAAATAGAGCAGTCACGGAATGGTGTGGATCGGTTCAAGTACGCACGGGCCCGTGTCGTATTTTTCGTGTGTAAGTGTAAGTTTACAAATGATTTGTTTAGCTTGTAAAATATGCCCACCTTGTATTGTACTCAGATATGTTATATATGCATTTGTTTTTGTTGTTTTCGCGTGGCTAGAGCACAAACCGCGTCATTTGCATGTTGCGTTTTGTAGTTTTAAAATGATCCTTCAACCTAACTTTACTGAACTGAATCGTTCTGGCTGGGACAGAACATTCGATTAACATTCGACTGATAGCTTACACGTTAATAGAAAAATCATTTGAAAGCGCGCTGTCTTTTTATATGAGAGAACAGGCTAGCAAGGGATCCACTTACTGGAACGTGAAATATCCCAGCCGTTACAATAAATGAAATGTGTCGTCGACTTATTTGTTTGGACCTCTAAGCAGAGAGGTAGCGAGTCTATGACGCTTATAATGCGAGTCAAATTTTGATTAGCACTTGAGTGATGATTGATAAGTACTTATTATTAAAGCTTTTATGATCATTATCGAATATTGATATTATTTGCTTCCAATATATTAAGACGGCTACATTCGGTCAATTATATTTCATTATTGCTTCTTTGCTGTAATAACGAAAATTATTTTAATTAGTGGCCTAATTTTGTTTAGTGTGTTTGTATTTATTTAAATATAAATAATCTCAAAATCTTCAAATTCTCTTAGAAATTATTAAAGTTAAGGCAATCTTTTGATAGTACGATTAAAAACAAATTTAAAATAATCATTACCATAGTTAGTTGTTTTTGAATTGTAATAGAATTAAGTGAAAGATTCCAATATTTTCGTGTCTCATCAATTATGACCGACCAATATTCAGGGTTACAAATATTAAATATTTTCGAATCAGATTGTCTACGATATCATATAGCTAACATATTTACAACATAACATAAGCCTAATTGTCATAAAGTGCTAAAATTGGATTATATCTTATTTAAATTTAACCCTGTTACGATTTCAAATAGATTTAAATTCTATTTAACACGATTCTTATATGTTGTTTAATTACATCAACTTTCATAATTTTATTTCCCATGTTATCTCAGATACAATCTTCTTTCTTTATAAAGATTTAAAATGTTGAAATAATCTATTGATTATTGTACGTTTTTGTATACCAAGTTGAAATAAAGCAAAATTAGCTACGTCATTACAAGATTTACAAACTTTTCTCCAATATCACAATTCCAACTTGGTACACAATAGAGATTTGTTTGCAGTGATCTATGTACTGTCCCGTAAATATTTCGATTCAATAAAATTACTGAAATCAATTTAGTATTTCATTACTTTACGATTTAGGGTATTATATATTAGACAGGATTTAGAGGTCAGCAAATAAAACTAGATTTATTTCATACAATATGTATTTTAATGTACCATTAGAATGCGTATAAATATTTGGAAATTGTAAAACAGTGATAAAATTCATAAAAACCAATACAACTGCAATAAACACAACTAATCAACGAAATTACGTTCCAAGATAAGTATGGAAATTTCATTAAAACATCGAATTACATTTAGAATAATGTATAATATCGTTTGCGAATGTGATACATTTAATTTAATTACACGTAGGTATATTGCTTTAATAAAAAAGTCTAGTAAAGTAGAATCAACAAGCACGCACTATTAAAAATTTGTCTTGCGAAGATAAAGTTGTAGATAGAAAGGTAAAAGGGAATACAACCAAGAGAGATCTGGCTAAATATTTCAAAAGTTGGCCCCGATGTCGCTAAGGGATCCGAACGGTTGTATATTTTTAAAAAACTGTAAACACCCCACCGGCGAAAACTAACATTAATTCACTAATCATGAGTCCAGTCTTCGTTCGGATTGTATATTATCAAAAAACGGTAACGACTGTCTTTCACAAAATATGGAATGCGATATTTTAGTACAACGTTCAAATAATAGGAAAATCTCTCGATCGCCTACACTGTGGGTCTACACCGCGTATAAATATTTTGAGCATTATCCTATAATTAGAATTAATGATCTACACACAATAATGCAGGTTATATTTAGGGATTAAATATCAGACCTAGAACGAATTTGGCAACCTGAACACTTCGCTTAACATTTACTGTATAGAATATAATAGATTGAAATATCGTAAAACTGTGTAGCAGTTTCGTTTGGGAATTTTATCCAGAATCTTCGGTCATAACCACAACGATAAGTATATATAATAGGTTCTATCACTACTCGATACCGATCAATAAATAGTTTATTTAAGGGTACTCGCTACGAATCCGACACAAACTACATCTATCCAACACTCTCACATAACATTCATTAGGTTAAAATTATATACAATTACGTTACACCTATTTTCTCTTACCTAACAGTACCAAACTTCCGATCGGTGCTCTCTACTTAAAAACAATATGGCCACTAAAATTGAGAAAATGGGCAGTCCTGAAATAAATTTGTTCATTCAACTGTGCAGTTCCAGATTATCGGGCCAAGAGAACACTTACTTAATTAATTATAAATAAATGTCACAGCAAATATTATAAAACGGAATTTTCACTCGATCTCCACCCGTTGAAATAATAATTTCAAGCTTGTAACGACCAATTATTGTAGCTAATTTAACTATAAATATAATTTAATAAATTTTAAACATAACTTCGATGATAAAATCATTTACAAAGGTATATTTTTTTATTTCAAAAATAGACACGCACAACCGCAAGATATTGAATTATAGTAATTGTAGCTAACGCCATCTCGTTGAGCTTTTTAATAACATTAATCGGCTACGAATCGTACTTATGTTTGCATTGACATAGGGGTAAATATATTTTCGATCAACGAATATAAAGTCGATGAAAATGAAATGTAGGTTTGTATAATATTCGTTATTAACACATTCACGTTGATCCTAATTGTTTAAACATTAACGCAATTGGAACACAGTTCGGTTATAAATACTGCACCATCCTATCAAAATGAGACACTCAACTTAACAAAAGGAATATTCTTATAATACAATTAAACAAAGTAAATAGGGGACTATAAATTGTCAACGGGAATAGCGTGGGACAAATAAGGTCGAGTCCAATGGGTCTTTATTCGTATTGGTGTTCAATGTACTGGTAATGTAAAGCGTGGTTTACTTCGTATCAATTTCGGGGCCAAATCTTTCCCCAGTTATTTACGCAATAAGAAAATGTCAAGTAAATCTTGAACTAGATGTATTTTTATTTGGTTTCCCGTAGTCACTTTTAAAACCTGTGTCATTCCCCAGGCTTTTAAATCTAAACCACGCTCTACAAAATCGTCTTATTTGTCTGCTAGTCTCGTCGGGGCAGTGTCTCGTGTTTAGCTTGGGTGTTGCGCGACTTTGCGGATGCGGTAGCCTCCTGTCCCGCGAACCGTGTACAGCACCAGGATTGCCACGGCCACTATTGACATCCCGATGGCGTTGATCACAATGCCCTCTGTCGGCAGCGTTGAGTATGTCTCGCTCCTGCACACCGCATGCCCCAAGTTAGTATGCATAAAATTATTTGCGTGAGTTGGGATTGTAAATGACGGTCATATAATCGGGAATCAAAAACAGTTTAAGTAAATAAGTCAATATATGTGGAGAGAAGCAATGTTTTTATCTGTATCTAAGTGCACTAACAACAAAGCCTTAATTTTCAAACTCGAAATAGTATTTTTTAAACGTTTACGGTAGTTTTTGCCATCACATCAACAAGAACTACCACTGTAATAACTCGGAAACGACCAATTTTTTTAGTTGTTAAGTTAATATTAAAAGTTAATCGTCAAGTCCAATCCCAATTTTAGTAGTCGCGAAAATGAAAAGCTCTACAGTAAAATATGAGGGAATATATAAAACAAATAACCTAATTATAAGTTAGTATAATTACGGGACGAAGTGTAAACCGTAAATGATAATAAATACATATTATAATGGAGGTTAAACATACAAGCACAACAAATGCAGTTAAACATGCAAAAGCTAACAATATCTACACACAGCTCACAAGTAAAAGTCGATGAGTGTATAAAATAATTTTATTTGTACGTCATTCGTATAATAAAAGTCCTACCATCTAATTAAATATATAAAATACACACTTGATCTGATACAGACCAACATTAAGCCTCCTATTGTATTACCTAACCTTACTTAAACTTTACATAAATATAATTCTAATCTTTTAATAGTTAAATCTACTTAATGGTCCTTCAAGATTCTCTGTAAATTTCTGCTAACCAAAAGCATTATTATTGAAAAGAGTTGTTATTTATAAAAAACTAGATGGCTCTGAAGCAATTATAAAGATTGAGAATGTGTAATTTGTAAGACTGTAATGTCAACTTATTATATGTCTATCAAGGCTTAGAGGTCGACTGAGATTCTCCTATCGCGCAATTGAGGTCGGAACTTATCCCTCGATAGGATATACATAAGGACAGCTGTAATGGCCACAGTGGTGATGCCAATAACGTTGATAATAACGCCCTCGTCCGGGAGCCCACTGTACCTCTCCGCACTGTGAATCGTATAGAAACGTACAAGCAAACTATTTGAGGACGACACAACATTTGCAGCCACTTGCAAGAACGATTTTGTTAATTTAGCAAAGCCACTTTAAACCCCTAGCTCTTTTTTAACTAATGAAGGCTTACATAAAACTAAAATTTCATTTTAAACAAGAGTTTTAAACGCGAACGACAACTTCCCAAACTTCGGCTCGTAGTTGAAATACTTAAATTAAGAAATATATTTCGTTTTTAAACCGTTAATTTTTCAGTAATCGCGTAAACTACAGATTATACTTAAGTACTAAATAACAAACTAAGCATTGTTAAATATATCCATGGAACAAGTGATATAAAATCCTTTTTTTATATATAAAGTGGCTTAAGCTATCGTTGATTTAATAATTTAAATTATTTTAATAACGTCTTGCAAAGTGACTGATAGACATGCATTCAAGGATATCAAAATTGGAATTGAAAATTATAATTTGCAATCAAAAAGGGTAACGATTTAATCCGTCAATGCACGTCAAACAAAAATAATGACTAGAAACATAACACATCCATGGAAAGAACCCAATGTTTAATAAAGAACATATGAAGATTATAAATTGAATACTGACTAGTCTGCAACTGAAATCTATCGACCGAGACATGCACAAACAAATATACACGTAACCATTGCAATGATTACCTGAATTCTCCCAGGATTGTGGAGTTACTGAAGATAATTTAGTGTTTAATAAGAAATATGTCACTCATGCGCAGATATGCAATTACAAAAATTATTTCGAATTGATAAGCACTGTGCATATGTCGAGTGCAATGGTTTTGTAAACTATTTTAAGTAGTAAATATATCAATTCCGCAAAAGGGTATTTTGAAATTTGAAGAGGTCAATCCTAGATCTTAGACTTGTTTAGTTATATAATTACTTGTTTGTACTCAGTCTTTTTTGAAATTGTAGCCCCATTGTAAAAATAGTTTAAATTAGTTTGAGTTTTATAAGCTATTCCCTTATAAAAGAAACCCAGTAATACAAGATGTACGTACCCAAGAGTGAATAGAGCTTTTTCAGTTAGACCGGTGAGGCAAGCGCAGACTCCGAGCACGAAGGTCAGGATACCAAAGGCTGCGTGGATTGGAACCAGTGAAGCACGGAACGAGGCTGTTCCCTTGCTGCACATCAGCAGCAGCAGGAAGCTGAAGAAACCAACTGCGTACTGGAAATAGGACATGAGAAAAGTTTGTGGTAATGTTTCTAATATTTGGTTAAAACTAAATGTAATCGGATTGGGAAACATCTCTTGTCTTATCTTTACTTATATTATAAAACTGAAGAGTTTGTTTGAACGTGCTCATCTCAGGAAATGGTTTGGATTGATCAATACGTTTTGTGTTGGGTTAAACATCTCATCGAGGAAGGCTTTTAATCATTAGGCTACGTCCACTGGGAGCAAAGAGACAGAGAGAAATGTGGAAAGAAAATCATCTTTGACGATTTTTATGGCTTGCACTACGAAAACGGTTCAAAAACCAAAAAATATATATGAAAGAATGATTCCTCTTTGACATGTCTCTCTTTCAAGATTAACTCGACGCGGACGTTGTGGGTAGCAGATATAATTTAAAAAGCTGAAGAAGTAATTTAAAATGAATAAGAAGATGCTCATGTTTCCTTTTTCACGGAGCGCGGGCGCAGCTAGTCTAGCACTGTTTTATATTTATCTTATCACTCACCTGTATACCAAACAGGCCCATAGCCACGAAACCAATCCAGCTGTGCAGCGAGTAGAAGTTGTTGATGCCCTTCTTATTATGGAAGTCGAGGACTGCGAGGAACCCTATCACGATGCAGGGGAAGGCCAGAGCGTGGAAGATCGCGTGCAACAACTTCACGTAGATCCGCCTGAAGCATCGGCAGATACGGTACAGGAGCAGCGCTGGAAAAGACATTTCTGATGAGGCTCTTTTCGTTTGTAGATTTCCTAATATCTAAAGCCAAAACAGGCAACAAACTGGCTGAGGTATTTCAACGACTATCTAGAATGCCTATAAAAAGGTGAAATCCCGTTTACCCCTCGTGGGGCATAGGGACGAACACATTTTCGTGTCCGTTTCACTGATCCGTTCTTTAACAGACTTTTGTGCCTTGCCCGACCGTTTAACCGTTTTGTAAGTTTAACCATTTGGCTACAGAGGGGGTCAAGGTAGGAAGCCTAAAAAGCTCTGTTACTTAAAATTAATGTAATTTTTAAACTATGGCTTTTCCTTCTTCTTCACCCATATCGTACAGGATGCTTGTACTAGGTCACAAAGGTGACTCCACATTGATGCAGTTAATTTCTAGCTAAAATAACTTTGTAGTTACGTATCTACTTATATAAGGCTTTTTACTAATTACTTAGAGAACTAAGTTTAGGAGTAAGGGTACACGTAATGTTTGCTAGAAGTTGAATATTTATTTTATATACAAAACCGCAAAGATAATAAATTCATGCCGTTGATAAATAAATACTGATCTCTTGTTTACATAATATATATAATTTACGCCATGAAACATATGGCTGCTGAACGACGTAACTCAGTACCCTGACCATCGTCAATCACATGATGTCAAAGGCTTTTTAGGTAGAATACTTACAAAATCCACTGAAGGTAATGAACCCGGCGACCATGAGCGTCGGGTGGAGGTTGAATTGTCTCTCTGGGTCGGTTTCGGCCCAGCCATAGCTATCCCGGTAGTAGATCACCCAGAAGACGGTCAGGGCGGACACTCCGATCAGGAGTATCGTAGCCAAGGTGATGACCAGGGCGTATTCGCACCATTCGCAGGCACCCCTCTCTTCATCGTCCGATTCGTAGGAACGGCTGCGTTGTCTGGAACAATTTAATGACTTCATTAAACTAGTACCAATGATCCATGTTCCTAAAGTTGAACAGCCTTTAGATGGATTGCCAATGAGTCTGTTAATGGTTTAAGATTTCCTAAATATGTTTGACTCCTTGTGGAAAATCTGGACTGCATTTAAAAGGAGGTATCCAAAGCTAAAATAGGTAGACAACCTATCTTACTAAGTTGTTTATGGCTGGCCTATTTCACCTTCAATAACTAAACCCCATGCTCCCGACAACATTTGAATCGTTAAATGCAATAATAATCTTTATAATTACTTTTTGTATATAATATACCAGAGTGCAAAATAAAACTCAGCCTGCTTATGTTACAGATTAGCCGAGCCAGACTGTATTTTCATGAAATTGCGAAGCTTTAATTCAACAGAGATGCAACTGACGAACCGGTGCATAGAAAATTAAAATGTAACTGTGCTAAACTCGTAATTTATCAGACGAGAGTTAATTAAAAACTCTATAAAAAGTTTTAATTTTTAATCTCGACTGAGTAGACAGCTTTTGAAATGGATGTTTACTCAAATGTATTTACGTATTTCAAACTTCAAACGTTTAAGTACCAATTACTTAAAAACTCACATTTCACAGTTTTTCTTTAACGGAAATATTTACGGAAGTTTTCCTATCTTTATAATTTATCAATAAATCAGAAGTTATTTACAACAATTGAACAAAAGAGAACCTTGCATATAAATATTAAATCGATACAACGAACATAGAAATAGTCCTGTGGGCCAACAAAAAAATATGTTAAAGAATTAGCCGTAACCCACGACGTCGTTTGCGTCCCATCGCTATTGTTATTTGATCTTAAAATATAGATATATATGATGTTATATACCCTAAAGCCTTTTCCTCGAACTTTCCGCCCGATGCAAACGTAATTTTTCAATTCCAACCTGTAGTTCCTGAGATTGGCGCATTCAAACTAACAAACTCGTCAGCTTTATAATATTATCTTCCTATTTTTGTATTTATGTTTGATTCTATAATCATATTATATAGCCAGGTTTCTGCTTGGCTGTGCACCCAATATCGTGATAAAACCGCAAAGGATCTCGTAACACGAGCTCGACGATGCGGCACCGGATGTTGTGGAGACGAGATTTTTTATGCATCGCGTTCGGAAACCAGAGACTTATCACGAGATAGCAACCGTAAAAGGAAATTATCCACTTCTGAATAGATACTATACGTTTTAGAACAATGGACGGTGTTTGGTTAAGGATGTTATAAAAGGTATCAAATAATGCAAGACGTAATAAAATATATAGATAGTAGGTTCGAATAAAACACTTTAACGGTTTAAAACGCGCAATATATTAGTTGAACTTGTTTGAAAATTATTTTAACCATGGTCCTACGTTTCAAACCGTTAAACGTGTTTTATTTAAATGTGTAATACGCGCTAATAAACTACAGATAGTATTTGGATTACGTTACGTTTCTTGGATTTGAATTCCGAGGATAATTTTGTGTTTATTCTGGAAAAACAGAGGAATTAATCGGTTTGAATTTGGATATGCATTTATTTCACTATTCGTGTTCTCTCGTTTCATAATCTTTGATTGCATGACGTGCTAAAATCGTTGATTGAATTGTTACATTATGAGTCGTGTATCATATGCACATGACCTGAAATTGCAAGGTGAGATTCTAATAATACATTAGTTAAAACATTTAAATTTTACTCATTGCCACTAAGAATTCACTACGACAAGCAATATTTTCATGACAGTATTCCTCAACCTTGGTGGTATAGGCTTTTACTTTTATTTTGTATAAAGTAATTTCTTTGTTAGGATAAATCATATTTAAGTATGTCTTGTGTGTGTGTGTATTTATTATTGTTCTAAGTTAGATTTATTTGCATGCTTTGTCCTATCTTGGGTGCTTTTAGTCTAAATTTGATTATTTTCTGTAAGGTAAGTTAAAAAATGAATATTTGTTTTATTATTGAAACAGATACGTTTTTAACCATTACTTAATCAAATGATACGTTTTGTTGTTCAAACAATGGTGGGATATAACATCTAACTAAGATGCGCTCTTGACTTATTTTGGCTTTGGAGATTCAGAAATATATATTTCTGAATGTCAAAAGATGCCTATATTTTCCAGAAATAGTCCGACATACGTGGTCGGGGGGGGAATCGAACTTCGATCCGATCTTTGAGCCATATATTGGTATTATAGGACAAACAAGCCCGATGAAGAAAGTCGTGTTGCTCGTTATCGTATTCTTGCTTTTAAATATAACTCAGTGTTTATAAAATTCACATCTTCCTATATCACATTTTTTTATTAACCACAAAATTTTTTTTGTTTTAAAGTAAATATATAAAAAATAAAAACTACTTATTTTTTTAACTCATGTTAAAGATTGAAGCTCTACAGTCAATACGATTGTTTTGACCCACTTATGTTCAAAGTACCGTGTTTACTACCTTACCTACTTCCGCATCTCTATTGACCTTAAAGACGTGAAACCTAGAAGTGCCTTAACACCTGCTATTTCTAACGTACCTTAAATATATTCTAACAGATGGTTAAAGGAACAGTTACATTTATTTGTATAATGATCTCTTTTAATATTATAAAGTTGAGGAGTTTGTTGGTTTACATGTCAAACTGGTATTGTATAATTGAAAAATTCTTTGGGGTTGGATAGACCAATTACTTATTATTATAGAGGAGAGCTACATCTTTGAGGGCTTCTGCAGGATACGCTGTGAGAACGGTTCAGTATACCCAAGGAATATGTATAAAAGAATCTAAATAATATCTTTTGAGGTTAACTCAAATTAACTAAGAACAACTTTTATGATGATCAAAACAACAAGGAAACAACGTTTGCTAGTTGTTTTATATTAATTTATAACGAGCATGTTTTAGCAAAATTGAAACACTAACATTTTTTGTGCCACAATCTTATTATCTATATTTTCCCCATTAAATAACGGATACCGAGATTTTCTTTGGTAAAAAGTAGAAAAACGGCAATACAAAAACATGAATTTATAAAAATATTAAGCACAGCGCTATTTGAATATTTTATTTATATACTTTTATTGTCCGAACGAAGCTTAAAATTAGTATTTCTCGAAAACAGTTCGATCTTCATTTTAGATGTATCAGCTGGTGATATTGATCTATCAGGATTATTATCCAGAGAATAAGGATGGAATAAGTGTCCGGTCGTGAAAGGTCAGACGTGAAAGTAAGGAACAACGTAATTACACCATGGATTCCTTGCATAACTTACCGCCCAGTGCCCAGCGCTGACATACGTGAATTACATATGGAAAATTCTATGTATTGTATAGTTTACATGAGTAGTACATTTTTTAATAAAACACTTAACGGTTTCCGAAACAGTTTCCCCAAAGACGCCCGAAACAGATTAGAGCAGCAGTATTGATTTTGACAATAGGGAATTCCTCCATTCCTCCATGTTAGTTTCCTCGTGACTTTGGGATGGTATGCAGCAGCCGTGGTCACGAGGAAACTAAACATCGGACAGTTCCAATAAATATAAAATTACTCTAATATATTATTGCTTATATTGTAGTTATTACTTAATTAATAAGCCGGACGAGAAACAGCGTTTAATTTAAAAGTAAATGGGAGTTGATAAAATTTTATAATGTATTTCCCATTGAAATAAAAAGTTTTATATCGTACCTAGATAAATTAGTGTAACACGGAGGGCTATGGTCGTCAAACCAAATATAAGCTTTAAATGTTATTCAAGCTATCAAATGCAGTGACGGACTTAAATTAAGAGAAACGAATTCAAATTAATTGTGTAAATGAATTAGATAATTGTTCCCACGTCAAGTATATGATTTTGAATTTGGTATGATCCCATCGCATTAGAATTTAAATCTCAAGCTTTTTGAGCTGTTGATGCCAAAAATCATTAATTCAACGATAGGTAACTAGTTCATACTTATGAACGTTACATCAGTTAAAAGCTAAAGACTCGAAATCTACATTTACTCAGACATCAGTTCTCAAATCAAGGGCGTAGAACGAACACGGTGTTTTGCTGAGACACTCTTTGTTATGTATTGACTAACTAGTTCCCGTAGTTTTTAATTAAAAATCATTCAAAAGGCAGCTTTTAAAGTTATGTCGCCTCGCCAAAACAAACACTCGCACGCAATAAATAAGAAAAGTATTAGACACGGTCGCTTTCTAGCACCGCATGGGTTTTCTAGTTCACAAAAAGTGGCGGGACGAGTGATGTTTCATCAAACGGTTCTACTTTACCGGCTACTATGTACTGTGTGCCTACGAAGAAATGTAGAGGCGAGGGCTGGGCGGAGGGGAGGGATCGGGCATTGACCTCGCTAGCCGTGGAACTCCTGGCCTACATGTATACCTAGAGCGTAAAAACAAAAATGCATTGCGGTTCCCGTATAAACATTTGAACATCGTTTGAAAGCTTTGAGGAGCCATCTTCTTTGACGAATTCATTGGTGTAATGGTAGCAATGTAAGGCTAATCATAATCAACGTGTCGTGGGTTCGACCCCCTCCTAGTCCAACCACCCACCAGGGGAACATCGAACTTCCATCTAAATCACGAATTGGCTCTTGGTTTCAACCTGTGATTTAATGGGATCCGAAAACCCAAAACCAAATATACTGACAGTGAATCTTCTTTAGATTATATATCACCTACCATCAAGTGAAAGAGCTCGTCTTTCGGGGTTTCAAATGTGCGTCAAAGCGTACAAACCGTTAAATTAACCGCACTAACTCCAAAAGTTCTGAAAACTTCTTAGCTGTTTAATGACCGCAGAGAAGCGAAAACTTGGAGGAAATACTATGTATCTACATAGAGTAGATACAAGATAATTTCCAATCTATTTTAGACCTAAATAGTAGAACGCAATTTAGAGTTTAATTGAAGTAATTTAAAGGATATCCAACTGGTAGAGGAAACGAAAAACCTACTTA